TTGAGCCACAGGCGCCGAGCCTGGAGAGCTATCTTTAAATGAAATATTCTTACTCTTACTCCCAGTCCTCCTGAGATTTTTATACTAATTCTTCTCTTGCTCCCCCTCCAGCTTCTTTCCCATGGCAGAATACATACTTGCCTTTACTACCTGAGTTGTTTTTCCCTTAGTGAAGATCAGGGGAAAATGATATTCTTGGAACATAAGCCTTGGCCTAAGAGAAAGGAAATTTGGATATGTTTGAGGTGGGAAGGGAAGAATCTGGTTTTGGTAGGTAATTTGTGAAAGATAGGAGGAAAGACATATGTCAGATATGTGCCAAGAGCAATGTGAGGAATGAGAGATGACAGGTATTGTTAAATTGAAATAACATTCATTTTATAATAGGAAGTTTAATAATTTTGTTTGTTAACTTCCTCTTAGGATATTACCTTCCAAATGATGATGGAGAATTTTATCAGTTCTGTTATGTTACCCACAAGGGTGAAATTCGTGGAGCAAGTACACCTTTCCAGTTTCGAGCTGCTTCTCCAGTTGAAGAATTGCTTACGATGGAAGATGAAGGAAATTCTGACATGTTGGTGGTGACCACAAAAGCTGGCCTTCTGGAGGTTGGTATCATAGTGAGCTAGTGATTCGTTCATGAACTGAGCTTATGTTCGTAGGCATTTAAAAAAATTTCAAGTTAATGCAAGAGTAACTACAAAAATAAAATGCTTTTTAACTAAAATAATACAGTCAGTGTCTTTTTTGAAATACTTAAACATTCTTAACATTCACAAGTATGTTATTGATTCCTCTGTGGCAGTATCTTATGCAGAATAGTTAATGCAGAAAATACCTATTGAATGAGTTCAGTTGAGTGAGGCCTAATGCTTTTCTTATGCTTCTTTGCACTAATCTTTCTTCTTTTGTGGTGGCCACATCTGTTCATTGTAAGTAGAGTATTACAGATTTGGGGGAATGAAGCTGGTTGGGAGCGTGGTGGAAAACAGTAAATCTAAATGTAATTACATAATTCACTTTGTTTCACTATACCATTAGCATGTTGTTTAACCATAATTTAAAAGAAAAGGTGAAAAGTTTATTATATTTTAAATTGCATATTGTGGATTCATGGCAATGGCTCCAATATAAATTTACTATGTAGATGGTCTAATAATGTCTTATGTATTAATTTTTAATAGAGAAAATAGAACATTCTTTTCTCACTTGAAGATTATTTTTCTGGGTGGTGCCTGTGGCTCAAAGGAGTAGGACACCGGCCCCATATATTGGAGGTGGTGGGTTCAAACCCGGCCCTGGCCAAAAACTGCAAAAAAAACCCCAAAAGATTATTTTTCTTAATATCTTTATACCTAAAAAAATACTATTACTATACTATAATATAGTTATTTGAGTTACTCTGATTAATTGCTTATAGTGCCTTCTGTTACAATAAGATACACTTTTTGGTAAATTTACATTCATGTTTTGTCTGTTGTAGGGCATCACTTTTACTTTATGGTCAGATGGATTTTTAAACATGTAAATATTTTATGCCTTCAATTTTACTTTGTTTACCTTCAAGAACTGAGACTAGAGGAAAAAAGACGAGGTTATAGATGTAATACTTTTATTACGGTCACACTAGATTGTTAGAAGGAACCATTTTTTATTGTGAATTCTTCTATATCTTTCCTTCCCCTTTCCAGAGAAATTCCTCTCTTATCTTAAATAGAGAAATGTAAGTTTTATAGGGTGACTAAAACATTTTGTGGTGACAACTGCCTGATGATCAAGGTTTTTAGCCTGGTATTTGAATGCTAGTCAGAGATGCTGAAACAAGCCTGCTCTTAAGACTGCAGTTAGTATTTATATTGTAGCGTTTTGAATACTTGGTAGACCACCCTGATTTTATGGCTGCCAACCGAAAAATGATGGGCATTTTGGAATCCACATGTCTCTTGCATTTTTTTCTCCAAGTAAATGGAAACATAGCGCATTCTATTTTACTACTTTATATTCTTCAAAGGGTACATTTTAAAGAAAATCTAAATTGCTGTCTCATAGGTAAATATTTCTGGGATAAAATGTTATTTTCTGACCAGTTTTTTTTGATAAATGTTTTACGTTTCTGCATTTATTAGAATCTTTAATGATTTTTATCTAAAACTGCACAAAATTAGTACAAATATGAGACATCTGGGGCCCTGCTGACATTAAAAATAGAGACATAACCCTGCAATGTGTGAACTTTCATTGAATCCTAGATTTTGAAAAAGTAAGATGTTTTGGGGATGGTAGGGAATATTTGACTATGGCCTATTTGTTGGATGAGAGAGAATTATTAATTTTCTTAGCTGTGATAAGAATACTGATTGAAAAAAGGAGACTGCTTGGTGTGAAGTACCAGGGGATAGAGTATCTGCAATTAAACCAAAGAAGGCATAAATAAGTATATAAAGGGAGATAAACTTGTCAAGATATTAATAATCAGTGAATTTAGGTGATGGGTATTCATTGTAAAATGAATGTGTGCTTGAAATAGTTCAAAATAAAATTGGAGCAGAATAGATAAGTATTTTTTATCTAATTTAGATTATTTTTAAGAATTTCTACTTAGCCTTCAGTAAACTCTTCAGAAAATATATGTGAATTAAATAATATGTAGAAAGTGATTCTTTTATAATGTTTCTATTGCACTGTTAAGAGATGTCTTCATTCTTAAGCTGTCAGAAAGTTTTCAGCCGGATTTCTTCCTAAATTAATAATATTAATCTTTGCTTGAATCTAATTTTCTGTTCACTTACTGAATGTCATTCATTTCAATCTACAAATCATTAAAAACAGGTAGGATATAAATTAAATCCAGTGATTAAATAAACTTTACTCTTGGCGTTTTGATTTGATCTGTAGAGGCAGGTAGAATGGTCAGTCTAAAAGTTATTAGTTATTTAACTTTCATAAGAGCCATTTTATAGCTTAATCAGTTTGATTCCATGATTCTGTGACTGTGGAAAATTAATTTGGAGTGTTTGTGGGAAAAACTTACTTTTACCAGCTAAGTGTACAGTGCCCCTTTGTGAAGTCTTTGCTGTGAGCATTCATTCTTCTCTGGTTAAAATCAAGACTTCTTGCTGTAAGAAAAACATTAACTTTTATTTACTATTTTATGTTCCTTAAATTAGTAAGTTTTTAGAATATTGGAGTTTAGGTTTTCCTGAAGTGATTAACTGTCAGTATTAGCGTAAAGATAAATTGCAGTAGAAATTCTGTAAGATGACCAAAGGACTGTAACAAACTGGTCAACATAAAAAACTAGGCCTACTGTACGATACATAACATGTGGGGCATATCCAGTTTGTGAAAATTAGGACAACTTGAGATGGGTGATATAGGGAGGTGGTCAACTATGGAGGTTCTATGGTATATTGTTAATATACTTCAGTCTGCATAAAATTTGCATTTTTGCTTATAAAGATTGTTTTACTTTAGCCAAATAGAGGCCTTTTATATAGCAACTGTGTATTCCTTGCTATCTTATTTAAAGAATCAAATCTTTTAATTAATAATCCTGTAGATGAAGGCCTTATATAAAATATAAGTAAGTTTATAATAGATACAAAGATCTCCCATAGGTTTGCATTTAAGAAAAGGTACAATTTAACTTTTTTTTTTTTTTTTTTTTTTGAGACAGTCTCACTCTGTCACCCTTAGTAGAGTGCTGTGGTGTCACAGCTCACAGCAACCTCAAATTCTTAGGCTTAAGCAATCTCTTGCCTTAGCCTCCCAAGTAGCTGGGACACAATGCCTGGCTATTTTTTAGAGACAGGGTCTTGCTCTTGCTCAGGCTGGTCTTGAATGTGTGAGTGTAATCCACCTGCTTTAGCCTCCCGTGTGCTGGGATTACAGGCATGAGCCACTGTGCCTGGCTAGAGCTTTACCTCTTTTTTTTTTTTTTTTTTTTTTTTTTGAGACAGAGCCTCAAGCTGTCACCCTGGGTAGAGTACCATGACATCACAGCTCACAGCAACCTCCAACTCCTGGGCTCAAGAGAGTCTCCTGCCTCTGCCTCCCAAGTAGCTGGGACCACAGGCGCCCGCCACAACGCCCGGCTATTTTTTGGTTGCAGCCGTCATTGTTGTTTTGGCGAGTCCGGGCTGGGGATTCGAACCCGCCACCTTAGGTGTATGTGGCTGGCGCCTTAGCCGGTTGAGCTATATGTGTGAGTATTACTCTAGATAAGAAAACCTAGTAATAAAGTCATTCAGGAAACTTAACATGCCTTCTTTTCAGGCATATTTAAGACGCTTTTTTTTTTTTTTTAAAAGAGACAGTTTCACTTTGTCACCCTCGGTAGAGTGCTATGGCGTCACGGCTAACAGCAACCTCCAGCTCTTGGGCTTAGGTGACTCCTGCCTCAGGTGGCCACCACAACACCCAACTATTTTTTTTGTTGCAGTTTGGCTGAGGCTGGGTTTGAACCCTCACCCTTGGTATTTGGGGCCAGCACCCTACTCACCGAGCCAGAGTCGCTGCCCTGGAAGCTTTTTGCAGGCAACTTCATAACAGATTTCTCTCATTTTATATCTTCCTTTAATATTTTCTCCTTTGTTCAACCAAAAAGTTTAAGTTTATGAATCTGAATTTTTCGAAGTGAAGGCTAAAAGAAGCCGATTGATATGAAGTAGGTAGAATGTAGAAGTTCTTTATATTAATTTCTTCACTATTTTTATTTTTTGAAATGGAAACCTAAATTTGGAGTATCATATTATAAGATTAAGAAGAACTGGGTGGCACCTGTGGTTCAAAAGGGTAGGGTGTTGGCCCCATATGCCGAAGGTGGCGGGTTCAAACCCAGTCCTGGCCAAAAACTGCAAAAATAAATAAATAAAGTCTTTAAAAAAAAAGAAAAGATTAAGAAGAACTAATTTGAGTTTTTTTGCTTTATAGTTGAAAATTGAGAAAACTATGAAAGAAAAAGAAGAATTGTTAAAGTTAGTTGCCGTTCTGGAAAAAGAAACAGCCCAACTTCGAGAACAAGTTGGAAGACTGGAAGGAGAACTGAACAATGAGAAAGAAAGATGTGACCAACTTCAAGCAGAGCAAAAGGTTGGTTGCATCTTATGTAACAGCTTGGAGTTGTTAGCATGTTCCTTAAAACTCACCTTTTTTGAGAACTGAACCAATTAAAGTTAGTGAAAACTAGATATTGAAAAAAGTAGCCTCATAGATAGACATTTATACAAGAATAGGTCAGTTCCTATTAACCTTCTGCCACAGCTGCTTTTATGCTGTAAGGCGGTTAAAATACTTATAGACATTTGGTACTAGGCTTGATGAGTTAGTTCCTGGCAACTATTTCCAGATGTTTTTCATCTAATTGTAGACTATTTGATGATTATTTTGTTTTTTGGTTTGGTAATACAATAAAAAATGATGAACATTAAATAAAGGGAAATAGGATAAAGAATTTAAAATTACTTTTCAAAAAAGCAGAATTCCATGAAATGTAGCATTAGACAAAATTTTGAAATTCTTGATGTGAGAAATGCTCTTTAGTTATCCTAAAAAACATCTAGTTAAAATTGGCACAATTTCGGCTTGGTGACCATAGCACACTGGCCAACCACATACACTGAAGTTGGCGGGTTTGAACCCAGCCTGGGCCAACTAAAGCAACAATGACAACTGCAACATCAACAACAAAAAAATAGCTGGGCGTTGCGGTGGGCACCTGTAGTCCCAGCTACTTGGGAGGCTGAGGCAAGAGAACTGCTTAAGCCCAAGAATTTGAGGTTGCTGTGAGCTGTAACACCACAGCACTCTTATCAAGGGTGACATAATGGGACTCTGTCTCAAAAAAAAAAAAAAAAAAAA